GGGCCGCGGCCCCGGGGTCCCCGAGCCGGCGGGCTCGGGCGGGGCACGCCGACGGGTTTCACTTGCCATTGTTTTTAAAAGACAACGTGGGCTGGCCTGGGGGTCCCCAGCCCCCGGGCCCAGATTTCACCAAGGGCTGGAGGCCTCGGGAGAGGGGCCCCAGGGCGGCCGGCGCGCCGGGGAGCGCGGGTGACTTGCTGGGGCGCGCCCGGCCTGCGAGCCTCTGGGCGCCCCGCGCCCGGAACACCTGGGAGGCCGCGGGGCCCGGTCACCTGCTTGGCCACGTCCAGGCTTCGGCGGGGGCGGCGGGCGAGCGAGGCGCGGGGAGGCGGCGCGGGGCTGCCGCTCTGGCGAGACCCCTGCTGGCGCCCCGAAACTGGGTACCTGGCGCCTGGGTCGTGCCGGGCGAGTAGAGGGGGCCCGTGGGAAGCGGGGGTGTGGGCGCGCGGCGCTGCGGTTTAATGGGGTCGGGCCCTAACGCATTTGGGACGCGGGCTCCCTGGGGGTTTGGCTTGGGCACGGGAGCCGTTTCCAGAGGGGCCCGTACTCCGCCCCGGTGGCTGGGGACAGCGGCCTCGTGCTAGCTACTTGTTTAGAAAGTAAAGGCGTGAGCAGTCCTTTGGAGATAGGACTAATTTATTTTAATTCGCGAGTCAGAGATTGTGCGCCCATGGAAGCCCCGCTGTAGCTGCCTGCCCACACGGCGCCAATCAGGGAGATAAATCTCCCAGTTAAGCTTTATTAAAATTCTGAGTAATCTCTCTGCACACCAAGCTAGCACCCAGCAAGGAAGCAGCCTATCTCTCATTCCTGGGCTTAGTCATTTACCTCCCTAAATTGATAACTTTAAAGGGAAAAGCAAACCAAACTTCCAGAGTGCTGCTGGGTGTGAGCTTGCGTTTGGGCCGCTGCCCCAGCCGGCCACTGCCCCAGCCGGCCACTGCCCCAGCCGGCCACTGTCCCAATCCACAAAGGCAGAGACTTGTTCCGGGAGTTGGGAGGTTCGGGAAGCTGCCCGGCGGGGTTCTAATTGCAAATCTAACCATCCTAGGCCCCGCCGCTTCTGCAAATTCCCTCTGTCTGGTTCAGTCAATAGGGTAACACCCCGGGCCCACGTTGGAAACTGATTTATGTGGCAAAGCCTGGCCTGCCCCCACCTTCACAGGCCTGTGGGTCCTGGAAGTGAACTTAAATTTGATTAGCTGTGTGTCTGCCTGAAACCACTGTACAACGCTTTGATTCCCCGTAGTTTTTACAAAACTCATTAAAGGCTGGACAAAAGAATTGTGCTGTGTGGCCAGTAATTCCAGCTTGGTGGGGGGGGCGGGCAGGCCGCCTCTTCTGTGTTTGTACACAAAAGTCAGGCAGAGGTTTTCCGTCTCCTTCCACACCTCTGCCAAGCCGAAAAATCTAGAACCAAATCAGCAAGGCGTCTGCAAACCAGTTCTACTACCCCCCCAAAAGAGCTTTTCTTTGGGGGTTCTAGGTGGTGAGTGGCAACAGTCAGGATGTGTTTGAGTTTGGCCTTATGTTTGCCGCGTGTTGATTTAATCAACAGGAAACAGGACTTAGTTCACCCAGTACATGACACAGAGGGCCCAAGCCTCTGGGAGAAGTGGGAGAAGGGCCCCCCCCATCCTCCAGGAGCTCAGGATTTGGGGCCCCCCCGCACTCAGCTGGGATTTGGCCCTGGGGGGGGAGCCCAAGTGGCTGGTGGTCCTTGGCAAGTTGCTAGAGGTCTCTGTGGCCTCACTGTAGGGTGATGGTATGACCTGAGCTCCCAGGGGAGTCAGAGGGGGTGGGGAGGTAGGCCCCCCCCCCGGGCCGGGCCCTTCTTGAGTAGGGTTCTGCCCCGGCCCCTCCACAGCAGCGAAGACCCCGTCTCTGAGCACCTGTGGAGGGCATTATTCAGGTAGACAGAGCGCGCATGGGCGGGGTGGGGGCGGTCCAGGACACCCCTTTTGCCCTGGGGCCCCAGGACTGTTATTTCTCGCCAGACTCTGGCCTCTCCGGCACCTTAACTACCTGCACCCAAGGTTGAAGGTTGTCACAGCTGCCGCACCTCTGCCAAGAGTCCTCCCACGCCAGCTGCGTGTGTGCGCGCACCTGCGTTGCGTTGCGTTGCGTTGCGTTGCGGGGGGGGGGGTTGGGGGTGCAGCTAATCCGGAAGCCGTAATGGTGATGAGAACGCGGAAACAGGACACAACCCCAAGTTTAGGGGAGCCACTTTCGCCACCTCCATCAGCTCTGCGGCTGGCTCCAAGTACGGGCGCTTGGGACGTGGGGGGTGGCCGTGCAGAGGCCCCCCGCGCTGCCTCACAGGCCTCTGGCGAGGTGGGTGACGGGTGACGTCACTCTCATCCCCGCTCACCCACCTTATTTGAAAACAAGCTGGCGTCCCTCTTTGTTTTAAACGCTGATACCGGCGTTATCACTAAGTCGTTTCTCGCTCACTAATAAGTAACTTAGCAGGAAGCGGTGACACCCGCCTGGCCGCGGGGCAGCCCTGTCCAGCCGCCGGCCAGCCACACGTGGAACACGGGTTTCCCGAGCGCCTTAGACAGACGGCAGCGGAGGCTGATTTCAGTCCGTCTCAGCCTCGCACATTGGGAGTGTGGGGGAGTGGCCACTGCTGGCCCTCCGGTGCCGCCCGCTGACCGCGCGCCCAGGCCCACACATGGGTCCAAACCCAGACCCCAGGCCCAGAGGCGGCCCCTGAGGGGACGGCCCCGGGAAGGTGCGCGGAGGAGCCACACACAGCACCGGGGGG